TTTTATTAGTTACACAGCTGTGCTGCATTTGTCACCCCCCGACTCTTGGCTGGGACGCCAGCGAGCGGCTGCCCTTGCACAGGGTCCTGCTCCCCCTGCTGCCGTCGGCTGCTCCCGCTCCCCTTCCCCAGCCCGCATGTGGCCGAGTGTGCATCCTGGTGGGATTTCTTCTTTAATAACTAAACTAACATGCCAGCAGCAAATGCTACTGAGTAATAGTCTGAAGAAGCCGGGGAGCCTATTCTTGCTGCTGGAGGAGACAAGTGATGAGGCTGGCTCGGTTGCAGGCAGAGCTGGCTCCTCCTGTGAGATGCTGAAGATGGCAGCATGTACCGCCAAAAGTGAACCAGCCAGCAGTAAACCTCTTCTCCCTGCAAAAAAACCATGAGTTTATAGGTTTTTCTTGCTATAGGCCAGGAGGAAAAATAAATAAACCCCAAAACTTGCAAACTCCAGTCTTATAAACCCTGAGAAAAGCCATGCACATGCATGTACATACACTTGTGGGGAAGAGCAGGGTTTGACGCAGCTCATTTATGCCCACACAAGCCATGTGCAGAGCTTGTGCTGATGTTCATCTCCCTACCCTGAAGAGGATATACTTTGGATATACTTTTTGCTCGGAGTATTTCATTCAGCCAACTTTCAGAGGCTTTGCTCCGGATCGCGCCGTGGTGGCTCCCGGTCAACCCAGCTGCTCCCTCCCTTGCACAAGCCTCGTGGGCAGAGATTTTGGGTGATAAGAGTCTCCCTGAAAGGGAGATCCAGGGAAAGCACGCTGCATCCCGGCTGGAAGACAGCCACAGAGCCAATGCCACCAGGGAGCTGCTGCCGGCATGCTGGCTGCGGCTTGGCGGGTGAAGGTGAGCTAGGGTAACAAGAAGCAATGCTTCTGGCCTGTAAAGCAATAAGAAAGGCAATTAGGCACATAACGAACGGCATTTGTGTCGCACCTGCCAGGCTGGTGCAGAAAATGGCTGTGCTGCAAAATTTGTGGAGAATATGGTTTGGGCTTGGAATTGGCTTTTTTTTTTTTTTCCCATGGCATTAAGTTCAAACCCGGGAGATTTACTTTGTCAGATGGGAAGTGCTTCATTTCAGAAAGAATTGGTTTCAGTTCTGAGCTGTTTAAAGGCATGTTTGGATTTTTAAAGGGGAAAAAAATAAAAATGAAGCCATTTTGGAGAGTAGAAATGAAGAAAACAAAAAATAGTCACTTCAGAGGCTTATTTCTAAACGAATAATGCACCAGAGCCGACACATTCATTTTGCATTCTGTTGTTCCCAGAACAAAGTTCTCTCGCTGTTGATAAAGTCCTCCAAGACTCAGGAAGAGAATCCACCCAGGACCCCAGGGAAGCAGCAGCAAAGCTGTATAGAAGCCCAGAGTATGGAGAAAATCAAATGAGCATCACTGAAAGTGTGTGAGGGAGGCAGTGTGTCCCGCTGGGACATGGCCGGGCACCTGCCCAAATCCTGCCTCTTCCAAGCGCTGGAAAATCCGTGAGTATCCCAACTGCGGCAGCCCCGGGGCTCCTGGGATTCGGGAGACCTTGCGACCACTGCATATGCAGCAAGGAGTGAGGATACTCGCAGAGTTTGAACTCCAAGAGGTTAAACACCAGCCAACAAAACCTCACCCTAAAATCCAAGTATAAACCAGAGAGCGAGGATTTGGGGGATGGAATCAAACCTGTGCAAAAGCCATCTCTAACCAGCGAAACAGCAGTTTCAAGGCGATCCCAGATGCCTGGACTTCATGAGGTGATTAAAAATGTTTAGCCTGACTTTCTCCAGGAGCCGGGGCTGGGCAGCCAGCAAAGCTGTCCCCTGCTTTCGCCTGCACAGCAAGTGGCCAATGCGCAGGGTGGATTCGGCGCTTAACGGGGATTTGGCGGCAGGAGCACAGAGGGCTGCTGCAGCGGGGGGAGGTGGCAATTTTCCCTAAGAAAAGCCTATTTGACAATTCATAGCTCTAATTTGTTGCAAGCTGTCACAGGTGAGGATGCTTTCTGGGGCCTGATGCAAAACCATGATGGACCATGAGGATGCAAAATCTGGATTCTGTAAAACCAGGGCTCTGCAGTAGGGAGAGCCATCGCCTAACAAGAGCCGATGGACAACATGGCTCTTAATTACCAAAATGTTCCATTAAAGCTGATGACCACCTTCACCCCCTCCCGGGGGCCGGTGTGACCCTGGGAAGCGGCAGTGTGCAGGGGATGGCTGGGGAGGATGGGTCCCACCTGCGTCTCTGCATTCACTTACCTTAGCAAAAATAAAGGTGGCTTTACTATTTTTTTGTTTATCCACCTGCTTGTAATTTGGGGGGGCCAGCTTTGCCTGGGAAGGCACTGCTCCTCCACCGGCTGCGCAGTCCCCAGTGTGGCCTTGCAGCTTCCGCCTGCTGCAGAAGTCCCCGGTACTTCGCAGGGTGGACCGAAAGTAGATCTAAGGCAGCTCCACGCTCACCCCAAAATCATTTTGTTCATCTGGAAAAGGCATTGCAGGTGCCACTTCCCAGCCTGGTCCTTCATCCAGAAATGCTCCTTCCCCCCCCGCCGCCCCCAGGGCAGACACTGGGCATTTATGTGATGCTATAACCGCCCTCAGCGATTGTGCGGCACACAATGACGGAGAAAGGGAGGAAGCTGGGCTAAAGAAGCCGGGAGTGAATAAGTGGCTTCCTGCGAAGGGATGGGGCTGCTGCTGGAAGGAGAGGCATGGCGCGAGGGTGCGACAGGAACACCCTGGGGAGACCAGAGCATCCACCGTGGCCCTGGGCTGCTCAGCACCCACGGGCTCATGACAAACAGGGAAAACAAGGAAAGAAAAGCAAGACAGCCGCTAATTTCCCTGACATTGAGTGACAGAGGATGAAGCCATCCTCCTGATTAACTGCAGTTGTTTTTGGACAAAGCAGGAGGGAGGGAGAGCAGCTTCTGCCCACTGAAGTGGGAAGCAAGAGCCTCTGGATGGAAATTTGGGTGCTGAAGGAGCTGCAGCTGTGGCTCGGGCTCAGGTGCCGCTGAACCCCGGGGAAGGGGCGAAGCCGGAGGCCAGGGCTGAGAGACGGGAAGGAACCGGCCGGCACCTCTCGCCCCGGCCGGACGCGGGTGGCCAGGGGATGCCCGCACATTGTTCCCCGGATCCGGCCGGGGCCACAGGATATCCTGGAGGAGCTGCCGGACCCCGCGGCTGCAGGGATGAGGTGGGGGGCTGGACTGGGCCCTCCACCAACGGGACACTTGATTTTATTTCATCTTGTCCCCAAGAAAATTTGCATGTAGATGATGCCGAGGTTGCGAGGACACCATAGCAATTTGGAGCGAAGTGAGGAACTGCCTTTATTTGTTCTCACCTGTTGAAAAGTTAAACCCAAGGGGTTATAGTGACCTATAATGTTATGTGGGTGTTGGGAGAAGGGGTTGGGTGGAAAAACCGCAGCCAGCAAGTGGACAGCTGGAGGGAGGGGAAGTTTCCCAAGGTCTGATAAACCCTGGGGACGTGGCAGTCCTGCTCTATCTGCCCCACTGATAAACTGGGGCCAGCCAGCGCCTGCTGCACCCTGGCAAGGCCACTTGCCCCCACCAGCACCACCGGGCCCCAAATCCCCAGAAAGTCTTCTGCAGCACCCATGGGTGCCCAGCAGCACCAGTAGCCCTCAGACTGGAGATGGACCCAGCCTCGCCACGTGTCGCCTTGGCTTCTTGCCGTTCTCCCAGTATCAGGCTGCTAAAAATAATCCGGAGGCAGCAAAGAGAAGGCAACGAATACCCAAGCCTTCATGGCTTTGCTTCACAGAGCTTTTTCATTTTGGCAGATGGGGCTGGACAGGCTGACGTGGCCGCGCTCTCATCCCAAGAGGCTCTGGGAGCTGGTGGGGGGATCTGCCTTTCCCCAGCCGCCCCCCAGTCAGGGCTAGAAAATCTCCACCGAGGTGCCAGACCCAGTTTGGTTTCCTTCCATCTGCTTTCCTGGCAGTGGGAGACTGCTCACAGTGATGGCACTGATCCTCCCACCGACTCCCCCGATGGCCTTGGTCACATCCCTACACCCCCACTGCCCCTGCAAACCAGGGTACCCCTTGGCTCATGCTGGCAGTGGGGGAGGCCTGCAAGTGCTGCCCCCACCGCTTGCCTGGTCTCCTCTGGGGCTTTTTTGTGGTTTTTTTGGCTTTTTATCAGGGCTCAGGCTGCAGGTGGGAGGGGGAGGATGGCGACCCTACGTCTTCATGCGAGCACCCGCAATCTGGGCGAGTAGCTCGCACCCGCCCACGTGCTGGCGAGCTCCCCGCCAGCTCCTGCTCCAGGAGGTGTCACAGCTCTGCTGAAACGCCAGGAAAATACTCCTCGGGTTTTACTCTATCTCTGTCACTGGCTGATTCAAACTGCTGAGAGGTCTCAAATATTCAAAAAGTCCCAGTGAGCATCAGAAATATGTATTTTTATCCTATCTATCTGAGTGATTACTTGGTTGCTCATGTATTATATTTGCACCCTGAATATATGCACTGGGAGCTGATGGGAGAGCAGCCACCAGGATGGGTTTCTCCAGACCATGAGTCAAGAAAAACCATCAGGAAAGGAGTTTCTTTTGGGGGAAATGGAGATATAAAAAGTTCAGTTGGGCTTGGTATGAGAAAAGGACAACTGAATCAGGTGCAATATTTCATTTCGGAGCCTGAATTACATCTTTAAATTGCACTGGGGTACATTTGGTGAGGAAATGTCAGCACAGAAAAAGTGTCAAATCCTTCTGAGACAACTGGTGTGAAAGAGTCTGACTTGGGGAAAAAAAAAATATTTTTTTTTTTTTTACTTCCTAAGAAAAGTGATGAACAAACCAGGGATTCATGAAATGTTTGACTTGACATGACTCTGCCTATTTCTGTGTGAGAAAAAAAGAGAAAACCCATGATGCTGTGACTCAAAAGTGCTGCCCGGTGCTGCCAGCAGCTCCCATGACGCTCGCTGCCAGCGCGCCCGGCTCCACGCCACCCTGAGCATTGCTGATGGCTGTCCGTCAGGTGAGGCCAGCATCTCCCGCGTGGGATGTCTGTCCTGCCGCTGGTCCGGCTCAACATCACCTGGCAACGTGGCATCAGCCACCGGCTCCTGCCGGCAGTAATGGGGATAATACCCAGCTTTTAAGGGATGAAGCGCGTTGGGCAGAGAACCCGGTCCTGGCTGCCGGAGCAATTCCTCGTCAGCATCTGTCAGGGAAGATTAATGCCTAAGTAGGTTGTGGGCTGGCTGCCAGCAGCATTTTTAATAATCGGATGCCACGCGCTGTTCAAGCAACCTGCAGAAATGAAGTTGCCTCGTTACAAAAAATAAATAAATATGTTGACATGAAGCAGCTCATTTCCTGGGGATGTTAAGGCTGGTGACAACCCCAATTCACACCTGGGGGTCTGGCACCACCAAACTCTTCTCCCAGGCTGTAGCATTGCCCGTGCTGGCCCCGGGGACCACAGCTGGACCGGCCGGCAGAGGAAGGCTGTGCAACCAGCACAACTCCTGCAAAAAATGTAGATAAGGCCCCGAGCTGGCGCTTGCAAGGTCTTGCAGATAAAAAAAGGGCAAATTCCTGCCTCCCGGGGCTGGCTTTCAGTTTCGGGGCCGGGAGCCCACGTGCTGGGGTCACACCTCGGGGCACGGCCATGGCTGCAGTGGCACCACCGGAGGAAGCGTCACCCTGCACCTCATCGGTGACATCACTGATCCTCGGCATTTGGGATATGGTGGAAAACAGCCCTTTTCCATCTCCTGGCACTCAGTGCCAAACTGCTGCCTGATGCTGCCATAAAATTCAGCTCACTTTGGAGTTTGCACTTCATTTTCCTCTACCTGCAGAGAAAAGTAGTTCTTTTAGGAAGAAATTACAGATATATAAATGTAGAGTCCTCTTGCACCATGTCATCAATCGCAGTCCCGCAGGTGCAGTACTGCTGGGGGCGAGAGCCGGGGAGCAGAGGGGAGGACCTCGTGTGCCCAGCCAGCCCCACCCAGCCCACGGGGGCCGAAGGGGATCGGACACATCCTGAAGCTTCATCGGGGCTGGCGACCCCGACCAGCTGCCAAACCATCGTCATCCTCATCCTCCCGGAGGCTCGCTTGGTGCCAGCCCAGCATTAAACAGGAGCTTAACTGCCCGGAGAGGCTGGACAGGATAGTGGTGTTATTAATAGAGCCGAGGCGGAGCATGCCTGAAATAGGCTGCCGAGGCAAGGGGATGCCTGAATGGGGGCTGTCCTTGCGAGGGAGCTCCCCAAAAGGGTGGCGAGGGCAGGGGCCGGCACGGCTGGAGCCGGGATGCATGAGGAGCAGCCACGGGCATGGGGCAGCGCTGGGCCCCATCCCATCCCCGTCCCGGGGCAGCAGCAGCCGGGAAACGCCGGCATTTCACTGCCACAGTGAAAACACGTTTCTCCTCCCCGGCATTACACAAAGGCTCCTATGGGTGACCCAGGCTGACCCCCGTAAGAGGATTACTGGGCTATTAGTGGATTGGGACCGTGGGGAGGATGTTTGGAGAAATTTGCCCTCCTGCCCCTCGGGAAGGGATGCTCACGGTCCCCAGTGGGTGCCTTCCCGCATGCAGAGCCACACGTGATGCCGGGGTTGCGCTCCCTTTCCCTATCCCTCTCAGCCAAAGGCCACCGGCAGAGATGGGGACAACTGCAGGGTGAAGACACCTGGTCAGGCTGCAGACGGCACTTGGAGCCCTGGATGGGCTTACGGAGATGATTTGCCACAGTTGGGATTTGCACCAGGCCACTTGCAATTGCAATTTGCAATTTGCACCAGTGCCGGCCACTGACCGCGGGATGTGGCCAGCTCACTCGGGAAAGCTCCTTCCCCCAGAGCTGGAGGGATCCCAAAGACTTACGTTTATTTAACCTGAAAACGTAGCAGGGTGGAAAGAAATCCGGGAGCGGTATCGACAGCGAAATCCCATTATAGGCCATGAAATATGCATGTGCTGTAACTGCGTGGGAAGGCCACAGGCTGAATCCCCGGCAGCCTCTGCCACCGACCCCCAGCCGAGCATCCTCACCCCCTGTTGTGAGCAGGGAGATGGGCAGCGCAGGCAGCTCAGCAGATCCCCATTTTATGTGCCAGGGTGCAGAACGAATCCCTCCTCAAGCTCCCGGGGAGCAGCCCCACACCGACACGCTGTGTTGCAGTGCTTATCAGGCTGGCAGAAGCAGAGCGTGCCTAAATATACTCTGTAATACTTACAATGCAAGGAACAAGTCAACGCCGTGCTGCCTCTGTGGTTGCCACGTGCAATGCTCTTTGCATTGCTTCCCTTGTGTTGCTTCCATCCAGCCCCTTAGATCCTCTTCCTGACCTGTTGATATCTGCGTTGTTTGGGGATATTTTCCCACCAGCTCCAGGGGGAAAATTGCAGGTTAATTAATTTTCGCTCGCTGCTGCTCCCACCACCGGTTCCCATCGCTTTCTGCTGCTCTGAGGAGGGCAGAAATGGAGCCACAAAGCTGAAAAACCTGGTGAAAATTGCCCCTGGTAGAAAGCCCTCAGGAAGGGTGAAGATGTCCCAGAGTGGGCCTTAATTATGGTTCCAATTAATTGTCGGTGGCTGCTGGAGCCAGAGCGGGCTCTGTGGGAGCAAGAACTCAGCTATGAGACCGTAGAAATGGAGCACCCCCTTGCCCAGACAGCTCCTGCCCCGAAGGCTGCGGGGTGCTGTAGGGTTTGCGGGGTGCTGCAGGGCTTGCGAGGCGCTGCCTGGCCGCGCTTCTTGCCAGGAGATGGTGCTGCCTGTTCTGCCGGCGCCATGGACCTGCCTGCGAGGAGAGGCGGGGGCCTGGGGCGCATCCTGCACGCTGCTGCTCAGCATCAGCCCCAGAGCATCCCACCCGGGGGTGCCAAACGAAGCGCCTGGCTCCAGCCCGCTGGGGGATTCGCGGCCGGATCCAGCCCCCCCACGCCTCTGCCGAAACACATCCCATGGGATGTTTTGCTGCGATATTATGGAAATGGTTTGGGTTTGCAACCCGGGGGCAGGAGGCTCCTGCCTGAGGTGAGGGTGCGGATACGGCCCTGCAGGGTACATCAGGCTGCCTTACACGGCCGCTTCGCCTATATTATTTATCACCCCTTTTCTCACCAAGCTGTGCTCCGGCACCAGGCTCAGGCATGTCTCCATCCCTCTTCCCAGCCGCCCCAGTGAGACTCGGCACTGCCAAAACACCCTTTGGGATAAAATGGACCCAGTGACAAGCCCAAAGAGGGGAGGTTTCACCCCAAATGCAGCTCCATCAGCTCAGCACATCCCGGGAGCTGCTCTGCACTCGCAGTCACATTTTGAATCAGCACCCAGCTAATTACCTTCAGCAATAAGGAAAACCCGTGTCTGTAGTGAGTATCTGCTTTAAAATTATGTTTTACACAACATAAAAGGATTATTTTATAATTAGCTGTCTTCTAAACCCTGGCCTATTGAAATCATGATATTAAACCATACACCGTTCCCTGCTTTTTAAATATCATCTGGAAGTTGATTAGTTTTGCATTACTAAAGAGCAACCCATTGAAATATTTAATCATCATGAGACCTTTTTCATATAAACGTTAACATTTGATTTTTTAAAATTTTTTTTTCCCCCGGTAATTACTCTAGCTTTGCTTACACCAAAAAAAAAATTGTCGAAGCAATTTTCCCACAACTAAGGGATCAAAATAGTCCTGTGATTAACACCTGGAGTATCCTTCGATGTTTGCTGCCTGGCACAGCTCCAGGCGGGAGTCAGCGCTGCCGCTGCAAGCCCAGCTACGCCCTTAGGACCAGCATAATGGCCTGCAATGTCCCGGGGGAATTTTCCTTTCCCAAGGGGTTGATCCTCGCTCAGGGAGGAGTAGGTGGGAACAGGGCAGGTGAGATCAGGCAATCTGCCCCAGGTGATGTATGGTTTTATACAGGGTGATGACAGATTTTAGGACAGACAGGGCTGAACTGCAAACCATGACACCAGGATGCTCAGAGCCTGGGGCCAGGACCAGGCGCTCGACAGCCGGAGAGCTGGAGTGTCACCTGTGGACACCTGAAACGGCTTGGGGATGTGGGGCCACGTGGGCAGGGACGATGGGAGCGTCTGGTATGCTAAATCCAAAAGGAGAAGCTTTTTTGGGGCTTATTGCCTTTAAAACCGCATAGAAATGCATGTGGGCATCAAGGGCTGAACCGTCATCACATGTGCTTGGGGACAGGCGGGTGCCAAACTGTGCCGCTCCGTGCGGGGATGGGCGCAAGGGACAAAGGACCAGACATCCTCATCCCTTCTGGTCTCAAATGCAAAGAAAAGGAGCAAAGCCTGAGCCGGGAGGCCCAGGAGTCACTGGGAGGAGCAGGATCCGTCCCGCGGCTGGGATCTGCCCCCGGCACGAGGAGCAGCCGGCTCCGCTCAGCTTTCCTGGCCGTGTCCGCACCCGTGCGGGGAATAAACCGTCTGGATTTAGACACACTTGAAATTCAGCTCCTGCTCCATGCCAGTCATCGGAAATGATGCATTTGTTGTGAAATGAAGCCAAGACAGTAGTATAGAAAGCTTTTTTTCAATATGCCTTAAATAGCCAGAACATTTATTCTATAGGCAATGAAATTCTTACACATTTCGGTCAAATAATGAGGATAATGTTTCTGGCTTAAGAAGAACACTCCTAACATCAGCAAAGGGGGAATGCACATTTAAATTTATAATTTTAAGTTACAAATTTGCATGCAAATGTATATTTAGAAATTTGAAAGAGCTAAATCATACATTTTTGGCAGGCTTTTACTTGCAAAAGAAATTTCCAGCGCAGATATGGCATTGTATTAAATTCCATTATGTTGCTCAGAAAAAAAAATAACAGCTACAGAAAAGTGAAAAAGCTCTGCGAAACGCATCCGGGCTTTTCCCTACAGCACGCCCCATCATGCAGCCGCACTGGTGGGACCTGGGAGCATTTGGTCCCCGCCAGAAAAATGGTCCCAAATTGATATTTGTGGATTGCTTTTTGTAGCCTGTGTGTGTTGCATTTGCCACCAGATTTTAGGTTTGTTTGGGACTGTGGACCCCCAAAGCCTCTTTGCAGAAATTGGGCAGAGGTGGGTCCATCTTTCCCTGCTCGGTGAGTGGGGCGCGTCCCTGGGCTTTTGGGTGGATACCACACAGAAAAGCCCTGAAATATTTGTTTTCTTGCAATTTTCCTTTCTAAACAATATTGGGAGAGTTTTCTTCGTATTTGACCTAAAGGACCCCAAAAACATTTGTCCTCATCAGAGCTTTATTTATATTCCCCATGGAAAGCATTCACCCCATGTGACCCAAACCCGCAAAGCCTTAAACTGCCATTTCCAGCAAAGAGCCGCCCTAACCAGTAATGACACATATTTCTGCCCCACCACTGCGAGGAAAACTCTCCTCCAAGCAGTGGCACACTTTTAAATAACTTTAAAGATGCCTTTAAAATTCCTCCCCTTCTTGTTTAAGTACCAAATTGTTTTTACTTGCAGTAATCTTCTCTGAGATGTTTATGGCTGATGTATTGAATAACTCCTCCTGTGCGCATGGACGATCACCCATTAGCTGTGCAGAGCTCGGTGCTCCATTAAGCATCATCGTTTTGCCTACGTTTTGACTCGACACCATCACCCAGCACCCAGCACCCACAGGGCCGGGGAGGGCACTGGTGTGCATTTCCCCATGGTTATACTCTCTCACG